GCCCTCTATCTTTTTAACAAAGGCTCTAGGCTAGATTCACACTCTAGGGAGATCAAATCTTAAAGAGAATGTAAGTTTAGAGAGAGAGAGAGTCTCGGATTTAGGGTTTGGATCAAAAAGAAAGTGAAAAAGTGAAGTTCAAAATCGCTACTGTCCGCTGATATAAAACACGCTCGCTCGAGCAAAGACTTGGTCGCTCGAGCGACCAGACACAGAAACTCTCGCTCGAGCCAAGAAGTTCTCGATCGAGCGAAGAAAAACCCAGACCGCTTGAGCCAAGAAAAGCTCGCTTGAGCCAAGAAAGGCAACTCTCAGGTCCAGAACCAGACGCAACACTCGCTCGAGCGAAGCCACCCTGGCTCGACCCACCAGACACGAACCTCACTCTCGCTCGAGCGACAAACTCCTCGCTCGAGCGAAGGGCCAAAAATCTGGGCAGCAACACTAGGCTCCCAAACACAACCAACCTGTAACAAACCTGCCCAACACATCCCATAACTCAATATACAAAGTAAAGAGGATACAAACTTGATAATAAACAACTACCAACATCCACGGACACATGTCCGGATCACTGTTCAACAAGGGTAAACCCGGGATCGCTATAAACGCCAAGAATATGGAAAAAATGAACCTACCTTTCACGATAAAAGCCACTCCCTGTCTAAAGTTGTGTAACAATCTCTACATCTCTGCCTTTTTTTTTCCAAGAATTACAATGGATCATAAAGTTCTTTTTTCTCAACAACCACCACAATCCAAAAAATCCTCAAAATTTTCTTGGTTTCTTCGATCCATTTTCGGTAGCTAAGGCGGGATTTCGATCCAACACGTGGCCATGGCGAATCCTCCCACAGATTTGACCATAATTTATATGGATTTATACTTATCTTTAATAAAAATTTAAGATAATTACACTTTGGCCTAATTTTCTAATATAACTATATAAATAAATTAATCCTTATTGGGCATGATGGAGTCGTTATCTCCAGCCAGCTTCAGATAGACATCGGCAGGGATAGAAAATTCTTGCCTAAAATACTCAAGTTTGGTTGCGGTATCTACCCTATGTCTCCACATACCCATGATATCGGCCTGAATTAGAGGGGTTGGATTTCAGAGAAAAAATGTCACGAAAGGGTTAATAAGACCTCGACAAAACTCTAGGTAAAGTACTAGTTTCAGTTTTTTCCTAAACTATGGGTTCTACACAACAAATCCCAAACCTAGATCTATGAAAGCAAGGGTTGAAGGCATGGATCTGGAAGACAGAAAGGCAAAGACGTGCTTTAGAATCAAGAACAGGAATGGGCTATCAAGAGCATAAAGAATACGAGAAATAAATGGTTAAGAATAGTAACAAGAGTGCAAGAAAGTGGTGAACAGTATGTATTCAAGATATGGGCAAGATCAAAACCATTTGAATAAATATGTTCAGATATGTGATTCGCAAGATTTGAAACAATAATGGCAACAAGAAATGAAGAATATCAACAGAATTGAAAACACAAGGAACAGTGGCTTACCAGAAAAAAGTGAAGCTGGTATGAAGATTGCCGAAGTCAGACGACAGTTACGGATGCAACGAGAACGACGAAAGCATCACAGGAATGGAGAATGGAAGGCAGTTGCAGAGCCTGAAGGCTGGAACAATGGCGTCTCCAGGAGCTAGAGAGAGAAAAAGCGAAGAGAAATCAAATGCAAAAGTGGAAAATGAAGAAAGGGGAAAAAGTTTTTGTCAAAAATGAAAATGGCGGCAAAAAGTAATCAATACGCCTAGAAGAACGTATGCGTTAGACGGCGCAAATGAGAGAAAGACGGCTTACAAGCGCGTCATGAACACAGTCCAATAAGGTGGAGACGCATGAATGAAACGGTTGACCAAATGATACGTGACAGCTCACACACGTGAAAAAATTCACTGGAATTCTTGTTTGCTGAAGAAAACATGTCGGCCCGAAAATGATCTCGGCTGAGGAATTCTTGAGCCGATGTACAGAAGGAAGTACCAATATAGGTTCCATCACCTCAGAATGATACCGAGGTAATAGAACCTAGGGGGCAGTTGTGGGGATATATTTCTGAGTACCAACATGTGGCAAGGAGACGCCGATTTGTCAGCCGAGGTGTCACGTGTCAAGGTCATGACGCCGAGGTTATCTCGGATACGCCGAGGTTATCTCCGAAGATATCGGAATCCGAGATAATCGGATAAAGGATAAGGGACAAGAGTCCTAGAATGAAGAGGAGACTTAGCCAAGGATAAGGATAAAGCTTTTAGGGAGTTTATCTTTATCTCTTGAGGAGTCCAAAGTAAGTACTGAACAGGAATCTATAGAAGTCAAGCTTCTAATGGGATTTGGATTGAGGTAACTATAAAAGAGAGGCACCCTCGTGGGTCTAAGGTACGCAATTTTATGCTTTGAGCAGTAAGTTTAGCACTTGATTATCTTTGAGAGATATACTGACTTGATCGTCGGAGTAAGTATCTAAAAATGGCCAGTGTTGCTTGCTTTTGTGTTGGTGCAGCAAGTATGATCTCTACAGCAAGAGCAAGGTCAGAGTCGATGTTGAAAAAGTCAAGCCTTACTATCTCTCCCTCATTGAAAAGGTTCAATATATTCCTCAAATTTTTTATGGTTTTTTTTTTTTAAAAAAAAAAAATTTGTATGACTTTTTGTCAATCTCTTTTTTATCTTCTTTTGCAGTACTTTCCAGCCAAGCTTAGATGGTGAATAGAATGACATATATATGATCTTTTTAACGAGTTTTAAGATACTCGTTAACAAAACTTAAAATAATTGTACAAATTTTATCATCTACACGGTCATAAAAATGTGCAATTATTTCATTACAAAAGAAAATATATATATGTGTGTGTGTATACAAACTGATGATCCCCATAGGTAGCCAGCAGCAGCAGCAGCAGCAGCAGATGTATGTATGTATGAGTAAACTGAAAGTGGTTGGAACCAAACAACCATTTTTGTGTTTTCTAGCTTTGTTTTGATGCAATGGAGGAAGTTTTTTTGTACTTCTATGCTGTTGTGTATTCGATGCAGTATCCATCTATCAATAAAATTTTATAAATTAAAAAAAAAATAAAAATTGAGAGATTACTATTCCTACTCCCCTGTTTTTTGATAATTGCGCTCCAATTTTTGTTGTTTAATGTGCATTAGAAATTGTATTATGTATAATTTTATATAACAAATTAAAAAAAGAAAAGAAATAGTGGAGGGTATTATATATCAAGAATATGATTGTATTTTATGATATATTTTTTTAATAATTCAATTGATGAAAATGTTAACAGATGTAAATTTTATACAGAATAATGCGACACAGTATGGCCCCTGTAAAATAACTGATGTATTATTATTGATTGTATTGATTGATGTATTGATATTTTTATCTGTATATTACAAGTCCTATATATAGAGAGGTTTTGGGAGTAGTAGGTGTAGAGTGGGTGGTGGTAGTAGGTAAAGTGGAGGTGGTAGGTGGAGTGGGTGAGGAGTAGTGGAGGTGTGTAGTGGTAGTATTACACTAACATTACACTAACAGCCCCCCTCAAACTCAAGGAGGTTAGACACAAACCAACTTGAGTTTGGAGAGAGTAACAAAACATGAAAGTAAACTGATAAATAAAAACAAAACAGGATAGGAGACACGGTATGGCCGTGTCAGACAGTTTACGGGGTCATGTCAGACCGTTGTAGCAGACACTGTGTGGTCGTGTCAGACCGTTGTAGAAGACAGTTTATGGGGTCATGTCGGACCGTTGCAGGAGCTAACCGGAATCAATGTCGGGACAGTTTACGGGGTCATGCCGGACCGTTGTAGAATACACTGTATGATGGTGTAGATAGGCTGCCCAAATATATATATATGGATATATATATCGAGCCCTCAAAAGTTGCGCCCTCAAAAGGCGCGCCCACTGCATCAAAAGGCGAGCCATCAAAAGGCGCGCCAAACACGCGGCGATGCACGTGATCGACAGAGCGCATGTCGGCCTCGTCGTCATGGTCTTTATAAACCGAAGCGGAGGCTGAGGCTTGGAAGCATAACAAACCAGTTGAAACCTCTTCGTTCTCTGAGAGCTTGTCTCTAAGAGCTGCAAATCTTGAAACACTCTTGTAATACTCGGTGGCCCAGAAAATGGCTTCGTCTTCCCGTGGTCTGCTCACTCTCTTTCCCGACCTCAATGAGTCAACAAGAGAGATAACTGGTGCGGTGGCCAGTGAACCTTAACCAAACACCTCTGTTTTTGCTCCATTGAACTTTCCGATGCGGTCGGTGGAGCAAAAAATGGCAGTGCAAACGGATATTGAAGCCAATCAGTATACATTGAAGTCATGCGTGGAGACGATGACTGTAGTCACAAACTTGTCGCACCGGCTTCAAAGTAGGACAAATGAGGTGCAGCAGTTAAACGCCCAACTGGCTCTGCTCCAGCGCATGTATAAGGATGCGCGAGCAGAGATAAGTGTGCTAAAGGCGGAAAATAAGGAGCTGAAGCGGAAGGCCACCGTGATGTTCCGATTTGGAGGTCCGCCATATGCTGCAGTGGAGGAGCAGGGAGTAGTGATGCTCGCTCAGGCGACAAAAGGCTCGCTCGAGCGGAGGACCAAAATTTTGGGCAACAACCATTTGCTCCCAATCACACCCAACCTGGAACAATCCTCTCCAAAACATCCTATAACTCAAATACAAAGTATTGGAGGATGAAAACAAGATATAAACCACAACTAACATCCACGGAACCAAGTCCGGATACAACAACCAAAGGAGAAAAAACCGGGATCGCTATAGGGGAAGTTTGTTTGTTTGTTTGTTTGTTTTTTTTTTGTTTTGGTAACTTTCTGGTGGGAACGCGATGGAAGTAGATTCCTGAGATGAATAAAACAAGGTTTGGTGTGCAAAGCTATATGGTATGAATGGAATTTGAAAAAGATTAAAAATAATGTGAAAAAAAAAAGAAAGAAAGAAAAAAATAATAAGAATATATTGGAAATCAAAATGAAAGAGGGGGGAAATAAGGAAAGTGGTTCACGTGGTTTCGGGGCCCACGGTTTTGTAAAATCCAGGAATGGTGTTTGGAATATTTTTTTTTTTTTTTTTTTTTTTTTTTTTTTGTTAATAATAATAATAATAATAATGTATTAATGGGGAAGAATGGACCATAGAGAGAGTGGGTGGAATAAAATTAAGGGAAATGATGGATATGATTAAAGTAGAGAAAAAAAGGGACCAGAGAGAGAGATTGTGCAACTTTCATACATAGACCCGAGAGAGATGAGTTGAAGAATAAAAAATAAAGAAGGAAAAGGCTGAAATATTAAAAAAAGGATGGTGGGTTTGAAGTGGTGGTCCTTGTGAACAGAGCATTGAACCTACTATTGATGTAAAACGCATGAAAAGAATGGTTTCGAATAGGGAATCTGCTAGACGCTATTAAAAAAAAAAAGAAAAAGGATTGTGGGTTTGAAAAAAAAAATGATATAAATATAGATATAGATAAGATAAAGAGGGTTTGAGCGGTGGAAAAGAAATAAAATAAAATATGATGATAGTGGGACTATTAAAAACAGCAAGAGGTATTGGATTAAGAAAAGAAGGCATGGGTGGGGAAAACAAAAAATGGTGGGGGGGACAAAAGCGGCTAAGTTGGTGGGTGAGAGAGAGAGAGATGGCCGGGTGCGAAGATGGTGAGTGTGTGGGTGTTTACTGTGGCTTCGAGGGTTGGTAAGAGGAGGGCCTGCTCAACGAGCTCGGCGAGCTCGGTGTAATGGGAGTCGAGAAGGGCGACGGGGACGGAGTTGGAGTTGATTGGGACTGAGTTGGATGGAGAAGAGGAAGATGAAGAAGAGGGTTTTAGAAGGCATGGGTGGTGAAAACAAAAATGGTGGGGGAGACAAAAGCGGCCTAAGTTGGTGGGTGAGAGAGAGAGAGATGGCCGGGTGCGAAGATGGTGAGTGTGTGGGTGTTTACTGTGGCTTCGAGGGTTGGTAAGAGGAGGGCCTGCTCAACGAGCTCGGCGAGCTGGAATGACAACGGAACACCAGCAGACGAAGAAGAAGAAGAAGACAGAGCGACGGAGATGAAGCTGCGTGTGGAGAAGATGACGGTGGCGCACTGGTGGCAGCGGCGCGATGCTTCTGCGGCTTCTGTTGTGGTGGTTATTTACGGTGATCAAAGTGGTTGAGTTGGTCACCGGTGAGGAGTCAGCCATGACGACATTGTGATGGGACTTGTGGAGGAATACGGGTTTGATCACCTGGGTGGGATTACCATCCCTTGTCGGATCTCCGAGGGTGAGAGCGTCCAGACCCGGATCGCTGCCGGCCGTGGCCGCCGGAAATTGATGACGAGGAAGATGACTTCGATTCGGAGAGGGAAGCTATTGGTGACCCCCTTGATGTTGGATGATAGCATGTTGTGGGTTAGCAGCCTCATCTCTGTGTGTGTGTCATGACCATCATTGTTGCAGACATGGTGTTCGACGAAATGTCCCAGAGGGATTTTGGGTTTGCTTTGGCGAGGTGGTGAAGAAGAGTGAAGGTATGTGTAGAAAATTCTAGCGGACTAGGTTGAGGTCCGGCAGGCGGCCAAGGCGAAGTTGCCGCCCGCCGGTGAAGCAAAAATACTAG